CGGAGGTTTTCCGAATTAAATAATAATCACAACAATAAGAAGAAGGCCGGCAAAATTTCTTAATCCAAATTAACGTAACAATTAACCTAAAACGCTATTAATTAATCTCCAAAAACCCACAAATCTTTCTTTCTACCATTAGGTGGCTCGTCACGATTCGTGCAAAAAGCTTGATAATCATGATGTCCACACCCGACTTGAGTTCCATACATAGTGGTTTTCATCCAATATAATAAATATATCATTAAGATTAGGGCCTGTCTGCAATTAGTTTAGGGGAATCTAAATTGCTTATTATTATTATTATATATATATATATGATTTATCATCTTTAAAATATTTTAAATAATATTTTAATTATATTAAATAACATACATATGAATTTACCTATCACTTATATAATAAATACATTAATCAATTTAAATATCTAAACATCATCCTTAAATTTGATTTATACAAGAGGGATATAAAAAATATTATGACACTTTGTTGATTTTTCTGTCAACTATTTACAAGAAATATTAATTTTTATTACTTTCATGGTTTATAAAGAAAAGCTAATAAATTAATTAGTCAAGATTAAATCTGCATTTTGGAACCAAAAGAGTAGTACTATCAACATGGATAGCTACTGATATAATATTTAAAACAGGCCAAGTCTGACTTTTTAAGCATGACATTATTATAATTAAGAGAAGTTTATCATTGTTAAGTTAATTAATTCAACCACAGGATAAGCATGACATCTCAGGAAAAAGACAGATTTAGTGGACAGCCTAGAACATATTACATGGAATTGAATTGTTGAGGGGAGGAGGAGGAGATGTGAAAACCTTATCTTGGAATTATATTGTGGACAAGCATACCAAAAAGGTGAGTGTTAGGTCTAAAACCAATAAGTTGTGTTGGAAAAAGTAGGGAAAAAGACAAATACTCCATGTGATCTCCTACCCCTTCCATTTCTCCCATTGCTCAACTTGATAATCTCCCCCCATCTCTTTTTGCCTTTCTTTTTTTCTCCCTCTTCCTCTTGTGAACAAAAAGATTCATTGCAAGTCTGGTCTCCCTTTTCCTCTTGTGAACAAAAAGATGATAGAAGTCTGGTCCCTTGTGTGGCCATGACTTGGACAACTAATGTTTGTGCAACCAATTTACTGCAAGAAGATTGACAACAGCACCAGCTGCCATGGCTTTTGGTTGAGAAGTCAAGTTTAGAGGGGCAAAAAAAATTCATTAGGCTAGAAAACAAAAGAGATTTGTTTTCTTTCTAGCTTCCCTAGAAAGGGGAACTTGTATGGTGGTCTGTCTTGCAAGCAACTGGATACTGTCTGTTTGATGGCATGACTTGTAACCTTTTCCAAGATGGCCAAACTTGGGTCTGCTGGGATGCCAAGTGGATCAGGTTACATCTTCTCCAGTTGGGAACTGAACTTATCTGCCACAAGGTGAAAATTATTTGGTTAGACATGAATTTGAAGTCAGAAACACCAAAAATTTTCACTTTTTTTGTTGTTGTTGTTGTCATTCTTTCTCATTTTTCTTGCAATAATTAAACAGCAAAACTCTGCTGATTTGTGTTCAATTCTTCTTTTAGATTGGTAGGACAAAGTAGAGGGTTTATTGCATTCATTCAATCAGGAAGTTATTCTTTGAAAGAAGTGAGATAAGAACTAGTTGTTTTGCTTGTATGTTTTACATGCTTGAAAAGCTCCCTGGCAGTAAATTACTACTGCAAGAGAGTTTGTGAGTTGGATGGAGCCTCCAATATGAAATGAGGATGAGAAAGAGAGAGACAGAGAGATTTAATGCAGTGGAGATTAAGTAGAAGGTAAAGATGGCTCCTCCTAATGAAATAATCAAAAGCCATCTTCACTGCCTCAGTCACCAATACTCCTTGGTTCTCTTTCAGGACAGCAGATAAAAAGGTTTTCAGGAACTAATCAAAGCCCACAAGAACACTCTTGCCATCTCAATCCATACATACATGATCTACCTTTCAAGATAACATCTTCCACCTGCCCTCTCCATAAACATCTTATGAAACCATATAGACAGTCCTTAGCCTGCATGTTTCAAAAGCAATTAATTTGTGTATATCTGTAATTAAATTAGAGAAATGCAACAAAGCACCCAAGAAATTGATTATACCCAACAGCACATTAGCAAAGCTTCAGTTAAAGATACACCATAAAACTTGAGCTATTATGAGTTTATGACATGACAGTAACAACTTAAGCAGTAAGAAGAATGACCATAAATTTATGGTGTGGAGTCTCATTTTTCATCTGAGCTAATTTAAAAGAACCAAATGGAAGTGGCAAATGAAATCTAAGGTTGTGAAAGTACATCCCTAATTGCAGTCTTAAGGATCAAATGGTACATGTCATGCTTAATGGTTTGTATCTTTTACCAACCAGAATTCTGGTGGCCAATAAACCTTTGTATTGAGTTTACCCTTTGGCATAGTTTAATTTCCATTTTCTCTACAGCTTCTGTTTTATACCGATTTAAACTATGCTATAAATAATATCTTCACCATTTTAATCTTCCTATTTTACTCTATAAATAATATCTTTATCGATCTCCTAGATATATAAAGCTTTTACTTCAAAGTTTTTTTTGTCTATTCAACTTAATTATATTATCTTATTTATTTCTATAATCACTAAAATTATATTTTATTTATTCAGTTTTAATTCTATTTAATCTAAAACTTTTAGTTTCTAAGGCTTATCTCTGTAGGTCAAGCTTATAATTAATTCGACTAAAATTTTCATCAACTAAGACAACATCGTATAAATGACTAGTAAGTTCATCTACTATCAATATGAAAAGGTAGGGATGGATATTTGATGTAATCCTATGCTAATTGTAAACCCACTACATACACTCTTTATAGTTTTAATACTAATAACTACATTATCGTACATATCTTTAATAGTATTAATATAATTAGTAGGTATATTTTTTTTCTAAAATCCACTATAATAAATCTCCAAGAACCTTATGATTTTCTCTATATTAATAAAATTTTTATAGTTCAAGCATGAAAATTAAAGATTTTCCTATCCATTTACACTTTAAAAAACCATTTAAATTATTCTGGCTCCACTAGAAAGCCATGCATAAATTATGTTTAACTTGAGGATCAACAATAAATGATGAAAAAAAGTAAGATTACTTTGTATCAAATTTTGAATGGCTATATTTCAGAACATGCAAGGATACGAAGAAAATACAACTTAAAGCTGTCTCAGGTTGACTTATAATGGATGATGAAACTGCACGACATGGAGGACAGAGGAGATCCTTCGGCGAAACTTTAGGCACCCAGATAGTTGTGAGAGAACCATAAAATCTATATAAACTAGGGATTCCGTTGTTATCAAACATCCGTATAAGTTAGGGATCTCGAAAACCCTCGTTAGAGTTTCAAGAAGACGTAACAATGAAACATATTGATTTCATGAAGACGACGATTCAATAAACCGATCTGACCCCAAATTCTGACGATATCGAACTCAGGAAATTAAGATCGGCTTTTAGCTTATAAACCGTCATCAGGGTACTTTGGCCTTCATCAGGCCTACTGTCCATCTGATCTCGGATCAACGATCAGGATACAACACAATACTTCGAGATATATATAATATATAATAAAAATTACTTTTCGTACGCGTTGTCTGTTACCCGCGCAGACCTTTAGATGTGGGGCCCTCTGTTCAACCAATCACAAGGCAGGAAGGAAGTCTTACACGCTGAAATGGCTCAGAACAGAGCATTCATCAGAACAACGATTGAGACAGTAATAAAAGCTCATGCACAACGGTAACACGAAGAGCCTGCACCTCAAAATTATCATGGCAGCAGCAGCGCAAGAACAACACCCTTTGATATCTATCACCAATCGCCACTGCAACACTCCGAGGACCAAAACATGGAAGCAACAACGACTCCAGTGTGCCGTTCACCGGAATCTGCAGTGTGCCCTGCAGTTGCTCTGGCAGTCGTAGAAGCAGGGCCCGTCGCAGTGCATGGGGCAGAGAAGCTTCATTCCGCCGCACCGCCCCCGGCCGGAGCACCGGGCGTACTCCCCCACCCTGTACAAGCTCGAGCTGTAGTTGTGCCTCCGACTGCCGCTTAACGTGCCATCTCTTCCACCTCCCTGTCTCTGATTGTTCCCGCCTCCACCGCCGCCTCCGTTTCCTCTGCATCCCCACCAACACCCCCCGTTTCTGGTTCCGTTTCCTCCTCCTCCTCCGCCGCCGCCGCCCGATGTCCCACCGCCACCGCCACCGCCTCCACCTCCTCCTCCGCCACCACCTCCTGCGCTGCCCCATCCCCATCCGTAACCCCACCCCCACCCCCAACTCCAACTGCTACCAGCACCGCTTCCTCCTCCACCGCCACCTCCACCACCATTTCTGCCGCTTCCTCCTCCCCCACCACTCCCACCATTACTCCCCCCTCCGCCGCCTCCGCCGCTACCATCAGTTTGCCATTGCCTGCGCGCGTACATCTTGGCAGGAGCTGTTGTGTCGAGCTGCGGCTGGTGCAATTCACCATGTGAGTCATTGCTGCTGGTTGTTGGCGATGGAAGATCAACCGCGTAGCAAAGCATGACGGCGGAGGCCGCCACAGAGGCAAGGAACAGGGAACCCCGCCAAGGAGTTCCTCCTGATGACAACCTCATCGCGGTTGCCTCGATCTACTTGCTGGGTTCAGGAATCAGGACACCATTAACTCTTGGAGCGCCGCACCTTTATACTCGTACCGGCGGTGGAGACGGCAATGATGGTGACAGTTAAGCAAGAAGAGACGGACCAAGATTGCAGACTGCGACAAAGACACGGACAGAGAAATGGCTTGCGCTCTACTCTTCCCCACAGGCTGGGGAAAAGCTTTTGGTTGGCCAATGCCCGTCCAAATCCTTGGTTTCATGGTTCAGGGGGGGGGGGGGGGGGAGGTGGATGGACCAATTCCTGAGATCATTTCATGAGAGTTGAAATGATTGCAGGATTAGGATGGAATGGGGAGTGCTTGCTCAATCTTTTCCTACAGTCTCTCACACAGTTCCCTCTGAATAGAAGCTTCCATTGGCGATCTTAATCCATAATCCCACTTGCTTCACTCATGGTGGAAGTTGGGATGACAGCTACCATCTCTGCAGTGAGCTATCAAGTTGGCCGGATGCTGCCCCAGTTGCATTGCACACATTGTACACTACAGTAAGTGCATCATCTATATCTGTTACTGCTTCATCTCAGGTTTTTAGAGCATTTCATAGAATGATTTCTTTGGAGACAATAGGCTGTTCTTGTTTCAAATTGATACAACAATTTATAGGCTGTTCTTCCTTTTAGATAGCAGAAACTACGGATTGTTTGATGTCAAAAGAATGACTTAAATGAAGGCAGTGAGAGAGAGGCTGCATGGTAATACTCTTGCTGGCATTTCGAGTAACCTTCATGGAAGGATATTCTCCAATTCATCTGATGGCCATGCAGAGCTCCAATCGAGTTCAACTGATCAATAGAAATGCTGTTTTTACCATCAGAATTGTGAGACCTGAATTCTGCAGATGCCTATAATTAAAGATCCAAGAATTTCATGTCGTAATGACATCTGATAACCAGAAAAGGCAGTCAAATAGAAACAAGGATATTTGTAAGAAAAAAGAAATATTACTGTTCTTCATGGACAAGATGATGCAGATGACTGCAAGAACACATTCTGTTGGAGATTTAAATGAATGAAGATGGTTCCACCATGGGATTAATTCTATCCAAATCTTTATCTGAGTAACTGTGACTGGTTCTTGAGTTCTGTTTTGTTTTGAGTTTTTGTGTGGGTACTTTTTGATTCTAGATGTGCATGACTCTGCAACAGTGGCTTCATTGCTCATCCTGGATGAGCATCCTTCATGTGCAGTTGACATACAAATGCAAGCATTTGGCAACATCTAGCTTCTTTTCAAAGAAAAGAAAAATGATATGCCTGATAATGATACAGAATGCAGTTCCTGAATGTTGTGCTCTGTAAGTCTTTCCAATCCTTGCCTACAAGTAGCCTCAGTAGGTCTACACCACTCAGTGCTATCAAATCATGAACCCTAGAATATCTACAATATTAAATGAGTATGGTGTTTGATTCATATCCAGTGGGCCTTTTCATCCATATTGAAGTTCAAATGCCTACTTATTTCACTTGTGATGTAACACTAGCAAATTAGCAAATGTTCAGGAAAAAGCAAAAAAGACACCATCAGGACAAGAGAAATATTTTTATTTCCTATTGGACAGGGACAGGAATTAGATCAACTTCTTTGACCCAAAAAAGGATGCAAATGAAAGATTGAAAGAAAGACTTTATAGATTGAGTCATTTTCCTAACAGTTTATGCTTTTAGGATAACTAAGTTGTTATCCAACTAAAGTTATCTCATATTATGAGAGCACTTTGAAGACATTCAACAAAGGATGCTAAGGTATTGACTACACATATAATTAAGCTATTTAATATAACTAGCAAACCATCCATATCTTCTTGACCAAATTGCAAGCCCTGTGTTCTGATTCTCTTTTTCTGTAAACTTACTTCTTGCAGATGAACTTGAGGCCTTGATGAAAGAGCAAAACTCCAGAAAAAATGTCATGCAGAGAAAGGCAAACTGATATCGAAAAACAAGGACCAGATTCTTTTTTGTCTTTGCAGATGAATTCATTGAGTGTTGAATGGAGGAGGGACAGGTGAAAAGAGAAGCAGACAAAGGAAGTAGAGCATTATTGGGGAGACCATGCTCATAAAGAACACAGAACATGAAAGCCAAAACCAAAGGGTAATAACAGAAGCTATTTTTTATTACTATTAATTTTTTCCACCAATGAGGCTGCTCATGATGTTACAAAAAGTCAACGCTAGAAGAGAAAGAAAGGGTAAAAAGTCATCATCCTTTTGTGGTAAGTATTTATAAGTCAATCAAAGATCATTTCTCCTTAATATAAGACACTAGCATTTTGATCATGTCTCTTTATATTGTGGAAGACCTCATGTACTGCATACATGAAAAACTACTACAATCTTCAAGAAAATCCTCACTCGTATAAACCTTTTAGGCCTTAATATTCCGATCTAAAACTTAATCCTCTCAAAAGAAACCCTTCTGCATCCTCAGATAGAGAATTCTAAGTATATGTTTTCCTGTTATCTTGAATATAGCATATTTTCTCATAATTAGTGATGCACGTACCTATCATTAGCATTCCTTCCTCCCAATCCAGCTAACTACTGAACAAATCATCATCACACATGAGTTGTGTTAAGTCCTAAGTATCTGTGTCCAAACAAGCATGCAGCAGGAGTTCATGGAAAGAAGAATGCAGGAAAAGCTGATCGAAGAACATGTAGAAACCAGATTCAGATTCGAATTCATGCTTTCTTAGTTTGGTGAACAAGTTCATTTGGTGTTGCTGATGAATGCCTCATTGTTCTATGCCTTGTACCTTCAGCTAGCTAGAGGTCTTCTTTCAGTTGATTTCTACTGTGACTGCAACTTCATGATTAATCTCACATTATTCTCTGTGGGTTTAGCTCGACAGAATGCAGCTTAGCGGACAAATAATGCCTCTGCATGCTGGAGCTTCCTTCATTAAAGTATGCAGCTTAGCTTATGCATGCATATTTATATGCTTACACACCCCAAAGTAGATCACGGATTAACCATTGCTATCCACATACAAAGCATCCATCCAGTGAGATTAAACAACAGTTTAAGCATCAGATTAAAGTCATACCAACTAAAGAAATAGTGGTGGATGCAGTGGGTTAATTGGACCGAGGAGCACGACAAGAGCGGCCAGTGGAGCGCACATGGCCGCCTCCCACACCGCCGACGGTGATGCAGCGGCGCCGCCCGATAAAACTATTGATTGCCCGGCTTATTCCTATGCTTTCAGTCGATGGATTGATTGGAGTCTGCATAGAGATTGATGCTTTTTTGGATGCTCGAGTTTGTCAACCTTACAAACAATTGTTTTGCTTTGCCAACTACTCATCATCGAAGGAGAAGCAACGACATGAAGGGGTGCTGCGGAAGATTTCCCAAGTAAATGTTTATGGAGTTATAGATCGGACACATTACTTATCAGGTGGGATTCTCTCGCACAAGCTTGCCTTTGGCAACACAGACGAGAAGAAGAAGAAGAAGAGGTGAGAGGGTTACAGTGAATGTTTACCTCAGCCCTGCAAAGGTAGAGAGAGAGAGAGAGAGAGCTTCGGTACTTGTCCATCACTTATTAATCCCTATATGTTGTTCATGATGAATGGAATCTTGGTGGAACAAAGTTGATCACAACTCCATGTAATTGGCATCTCTCAACAGCTGCTAATTAACTAATGCATGCTGCTTTTTCTACATGCTTTGGAACCCATTAAGTATTAATGATTACTCTAAGCATCTGACCCACTTTTCTTTAGTTAAGCTATTATAATTATATATATAGTGGAAGTTGAATCCCTAATCTGAATATGTCATATTTGAGGTTGATCTAATTAATCTAATGGTTAATTCCCCATTTTTGTGTGTTCAAAACATCAGATTTACCCTTTAGAGTATATACAAATAAAATAAAATAAAATTTCACAAACAATAAGAAGTGGTGATGAAGCTTAACCATCATTTTCTCGATCGTAAAGAGGCATTTAGTATTATTTTATATTATTTATATGAGCTAATTATATATTATCTCCTATAATTAGTTATCTTTAGCATATCGTCTTTACACTTTTAAAGTTATTATTAAGATCCATATATTTTTAAAAGTGAAACATTTAACCTTGTTTCTTCTTATGTCATTGAGCACGTGCGATATTTTCATTGAGCACGTGCGATATTTTCATTAACCGAGTCGATGACGTAAGAAGAAACGAGATTAAATATATTTTTTTTCATAAGTATAGAGATTCTAATATAATTTTTGAAAATATAGAGATCGATAAAAATAACTAATTATTAGAGATAATATGTAATTAATCCTATTTATATTTATGGTTAGTAAGTATAAGTCTTTTGTTGTATACATAAGAAATAATAACTTCCTTTGATGTTGCTGTAGATAATTACTTGAAGCTAAAAATGATCTCATCACCAACTTAATATATGTTTTGGGTAGATAATATTGAATTATGCATGTTTACCTGAATTAGAGGGTCAAACACCTGAAGCTGTAATTGATGGTTTAATGACAGTGAAAACAAAGTAGGAGCTGAATGGATCAACATATTCCATGTTTCATGATATCTTTACATGATATATGTATTATAATGACATCTCCAAAGTCCATACTATGAACAGTTGTGTGCAATATAATACAAAGGCTGCACTAATAGAAAGCCATTCGGGCTGCTTCCAATGCATGTTATTATACTAAATGGTCTCTATCTATCTCTCGTGTATCTTCCTGAATGGCCGCCGATCCAACTTGTTGCTTTTGGTATATTTATTCTGATGCATCTCTTCTCATCATCATCATCATCATCATCATCATCTTGTTTCTCTTCTCTCCTTCTCTCTCTCTCTCTCTCTCTCTCTCTCTCTCTCTCGGAGATGTATGGGCATGCAATGGGTTCTTGGAAAGAGAGGGTTTTGAGCTGAGATGGGTGAAAGGTGGAGAAGGACTCGGCTATCAGGTTAGTTGTTCTGATCAAAGGAGATGAATTAAAGAGCGCTCTTTGGGGTTCTCAAGCTTCTTATGGTTTGGATTTTGATCTCATTTGCTTCCTTCTGTTGCTGTGGAGGAGAAGAGAGACTGCTCATAAGAAGTTGGCTCAAAGGAGGGTCTGATTTGGTTCTATAGAAGACAAGAGAAGAGGGGAGGAGAAGCTGGCGAACAAGTGGTGGGAGAGAGTGGATGCGGTGGAGATGGCAGGAAAGGAGTCCGGTGGCAGCAGAGACGACTCTTCTCTCTACCTCCACCACCTCCTTGGCCCGCCAGCGCCCCCGACGCACGTCCCGCCCGAAGAGTCCAAGCTGCCTCAGAAGGAAAGCCCGAATCCCGTGGACCATGGCGATGGCAGCGGTGAACGACCTACTACCTCTGCTGCCGCCGCTGGAGGTCCCGTCCGCCGCCCCCGCGGCCGGCCCCTTGGTTCCAAGAACAAGCCGAAGCCGCCTATTATAGTCACGTGCGACAGCCCCAACGCCCTCCATTCCCACGTGCTCGAGGTCGCGGCCGGCGCCGACGTGGTCGAGTGCGTCAACGAGTACGCCCGGCGCCGCGGCCGGGGTGTGTCCGTCCTCAGCGGCGGCGGAGCTGTCGTCAACGTCGCCATCCGCCAGCCTGGAGCCTCGGCGACGGGGGGCGTGGTGGCCACCCTCAGGGGTAGGTTCGAGATCCTCTCGCTGACCGGGACCGTCCTCCCGCCTCCCGCGCCGCTCGGTGCGACCGGCCTAACCGTGTTTCTGGCCGGAGGGCAGGGGCAGGTGATCGGAGGAAGCGTGGTTGGACCGCTGGTGGCGGCGGGGCCGGTGGTGCTGATGACGGCGTCGTTCTCCAATGCCATGTACGAGCATCTGCCGTTGGAAGGCGAGGAGGAACCGACAGAGGCAACAGCAGCGGAGGGGCAGCAACCCGGCGGTTTGCAGTCCTCAGCTGTTACTAGCAGTGGCCATGAAGGTGGTGACGGAGGAGTTGGCGCCGTCGGCCTTCCGTTCTACAGTTTGGGTGCAAGCACGGGGAATTACCAGCACCCAGGTGATGCTTTTGGATGGGCTACCGGTAGTAATCTTCGGCCACCATTTTGATTCAGACACAAGTTCACTACTACCACTGAGTGATGTTCAACATACACTGCCACCGAAGAAGAAGAAGAAGAAGAAGAAGAATTCATAGGTTTCATGCTGTTTGCTTTGGAGTACTGCCAGATGTTAAGCTTCAGTTGCACCACTTCACCAGCTTCAGCGGCATCAATGGAGGCATGCTAGCTGATGAGGTTTGTATGAACAATGAGTAGGATCTGATCTGAGTACTAAGAATCACTCCATTAACTTGGGTTTGCTGTGAAGCGGAAAGAATGGGAAGTAGGAAAGGAAGAGATGTCAGCAGGAAGTCATATATGTCTCCTCTCTTTCGCCTTATTTTCCTTTTGATGTGACGCTTCCTTAGCTATGTTGTAGAAATTGTTCTAAATCATGAACTCACCAATTGATGGACTTCTGGTGCTTATATCTCTTGTGTGGGTTGTATGAGTTAACATTCTCAGCTGAGCCTTCCACAGAAACCCTAGCTGTGGGAAGAAGAAAGTGCAGACTTGACCTACTGTGAGACTGTGCCGAAGGAAAAGAACTGAAGGTGCAGTTAATTTACTGAGCATGATGGAAGGCAAACTGACCATATGATATTGACAGAGATGCTCATAGATTCTCAAATCTGATTTCATCTTCTTCTAAGTACGTTTGCAGAAGAAGATCTCTGCCTCCCACTTCCCATGAACATCCAAACCATGATGATCTTTGTAGCTCTGCAAACTATTCCCTTTCACTGACATGGTCATCCTCTCTCTCTCTCTCTCTTTCTCTCGCTTTATTGGTTGCATAAAGAATTATAATTTTATGTGTTAAGAATATTTTAATTTTAATTTATAATTTCTAATAAAATCTTTTGAAATCTCTTTTACATCTTTTTTTTAATTTTTTCTATCGACTCCACATACGTACGTATACATATAATGTACGTATGTATATATGTGTGTATATATACAATGTTGTCACAAAGCTAACAATTTAAATATCACATTGTATACACGTCCATTTATTTCATCCTTTGGAACCAATATACAGAAAAAGAAAAGCTTTCAGATTCTTGATCCAAACGAGGCTATCTTACAAGCAGTATAAGGTTAATTTTCCACTATGTCAATGAAAATTCTTATTCTGTGTTACCTGTTCTAGCCAACTTCCTGACTATTGTGTATCCAACCATGGATGCATACAAATCTATATTCTGAATTTTAAGGGACTATCGAACTCAATTGATATATATCTACTTCCGCATGCTACCTTTCTGATCCATCTGACCTGTGAGTAGAACTTGGAAGTGCAGTCAATACAACTATTCATTAACTGAATGGAGGCATCGCTGGAACAATCTACAAAGCTGTTCTGCTATGAAAAAGATTCATAGAAGTTTCAGTTGAACCATAGCCAAAACTTTCCTCACAAGCTGTACCAGCGAGTAACAGGTTCAATCCAAGTCCAAATCATGGCTTTCAGCAAGACCAGTTACAATTTTGACGAAGTTGTGAAACAAAAGAAATTGTTAACTCGGTGCGGGCAAGCAAGAGCCATTTACATGAAGAACCTTTGACAGAACAATCTTTTGACAGGCGAAAGTTCGATATAAATAACAGAAGCAAACTTGCGCCGAATATTTAGCCACAGAAGTAGCGCAAGATTTTGGTGTGATCCATCACAGTAAGGTGCATTCCAGGATCGAACATGATTTCTGACGAAGGATGCAAGGGTTTCTCCATCACCTCGATGCAGCTCTGGCACTCATTGAAGAATGATAGTTGGTGCTTCTCTGCTTGCGATAGGAAGAATAGACATCATCGTACTGGCTCACCTCATTAGGGTCTGCAGTGGCTCCGAGTCCCAACCTTCCTGAGCCACCCGATCCTGCTTTTCGATCAACGCTACCATCAGCATACGCTCCAGTTTCTGCATCCATCTTCAAGTTCGGTGGAGGAATGCATGCCCCTCCCTTTCGAACGGGAGGCTCCATCCCACATTCATCGTATTCATCATCTGATGCAGACTGTCTAATTGGCCCTTCTGATGGGTTGATCTCTCCAATCTCTTTGAAGAACTTGGACACTTGATCGAGAACCTTTGAAGGGGACATGGTGGATGGGGCAATCACAGTGGGGATATCAAGAGTACTTAAAGGAGAGTAGGGAACACCACTACCGATCTGCGTCTTCCTCACCATGTCAGGGATGAGGCCAGGGGGGAACAAAGGATAAGGTGAAGGACCTTGATCCATTATGCTGGCTGCGGAATTGGGTTGCAGCTGAGGGAGAGCTGTCGGCACAGTTGGTTGGACTGGAAGAGTGAGCGAGGATGGAGTCTGCTGTGTTACAGTAGGTGTGAACTGCAGAGCTGAAGTTGGAGGCAAATGTTTGTTGGTGACTTCTTGACTTTGGAAACTCAGATCAGAATTTTTATTGTCCGACCATTGTTGAGGTGTTAAGCCTACAACCAAAAGAGATAAAAATGGTGTAAAGTTCACACTGTCAATTAAAAAAATGCTAATAGCGAGGTAATATTTAGTGCTTAAGTGGGTTAACCAAACTGTCAATAAAGGTGCTCTAATTTTTATAATTCATGACACAAACTGATAGGCCGAGCACCAAACAACATGGGTAAAAGATAATAGCATAGCATGAGGACCAAGAAATAATCTTGCAGCATAAGACATGAAGAATGAAGATAAATGTTCCACAGGATTATTAGAATGATAGAAGTTTATTCAGAGATTCTGAAGTGCTTTTAGAAATAAGATAGATCATTTAATGTTCTATAAGCAACAGGAGTCGACTTGTGATCGAACATCTACATTCTGGGTAACAATGGCCATTGAACGATTGGAAGTTGGTATGATTCTGCTTCCAGAATAGGTTACTCATGTCCAAGGTTAATGTTCTATAAGCAAAGAATATCATGCAACCAATGGAGAAGATTGTAGTCATTCTCATGTATATTTCAATAATGAGTTCAAATTAGTGCATATCACAAAGGGTATAACTCGGATAAAAAACTGCAAAGGGGGTTTCTGCAGTCTAAAATAAGAAAATTTTGAAGGTGGAAAAAGGAAGCAGTCAACTGGCGCAGAGCTCAATGCTTGTTAGTAAATTTAGCTCTACCAAAAGACTATTGCTAGCTTCTCAGAATGATTTTGTAAAAGAAAAAATCCATGACATATAGGCGGGTGGAACAACTGTGGATCACAAAGCCCTAGATAATCATGACTTATAGTTGTCAATAAGTTTGAAGAACCTCAAGTTCGAAGAACCTATTACAATACAGCACACCTAGAAGTTAAGGTACAAACAAATGGTACATTTCATATGAATGTTTGAGTGGTCCAACAAAAGTAAAAAAAATAAAAGAATTGAAACTAACATGGAGCGGATGTTGTAGCATGCAGAATTCTGTTGCACATGGATAAGAGATGGCAAAACAGACCTGTGAGATTTGAGGAGTTTAATCCACCTACTGCTTCCATTTGTGCTGCTGACCGACATGGTAATCCACCAGTCATTTCTCTCTCAAGGCTAGTAACAGTATCCTGGTTATACACTTCCTTTGATGCCCAAAACTGTAATATCTTCTCCAAACGAGACTGGTTAGCATCTTTGTTATGAGGATTATTGTAAATTTTTGCAAGCATGGATCCCAACACAGGTCTAAATGCAAGTGCTTCATTATCCAGTTCTCGAGGACTGATTCGGTGTTGCAAGCTGCAACAAAAGGTAAATGCTAAATATAGATCAATCATCGGAATGAAGTATCTAAACAAGTGGCTTCTTACTCAGTTGAATGAGGGCTAATCAATGTCAGAAGAACAAGAAAACAATAATTAGTAAATTGAACAAAGGAAATATAGAGAAACTTGGTAAACAAATCTTGACAGTACAACATATCTTTGCAGAAATATCCTACATTAATTAAATACAGACAAGTATTTATAAATATATGCATATTATAGTATATATTGCCAGAAATTATAATGCTCCAACTGGAGCTACCTAAAAACTGAGCCAATTAGGAAAAGGATCAACGTAGCTTAGATCCTTCAGAGGTGCAAGTAGACCAAATTAAGATATGGTCAGTCAATTGGTCACTAGTCAATCCCATTTTTACCAATGCAACAAATCACTACAAAATAAAATACTACCTAATGACTATCATATCGTGTAATTTGGAAATATTCCCACATTATAGAACTATGGGTAGGTTGACCCTTTTCCTAATAGGAGCCAGTTGCTCCTATAGGAGTGATATAGCTCACTCTCTCTCTCTATGTATGTATATGTATATTATATGTGTATGTATGTATATGAATGTATGTATGTATATGTATGTATATACATATATATGTATATATGTGTATACATATATATGTATATACATATATATGTATATACATATATATGTATATACATATATATG